AGGGGAGGGGAGGGGAGGGGAGGGGAGAAGAGGGGAGGGGAGGGGAGGGGAGGGGAGGGAAGGAGAGGGGAGAAGAGGGGAGGAGGCTATGTTCCTAAAAATCGTGCCCATCCCTCTGTAGCACCACACCCTACTGCAAGCCAAAGCAACACTTGGTGACAACCATCTTCAGGTTACTTGCTGGAACAGCTCCTGACTCACGCTCCCAAAATTCAACCCGAGGCAGCCACCCTGTCACTAGGAGCACCGGTGAGAAAAGTGCCAGGCAGCCTGTGGCTTGGCAGTATTTCTGCAGGGCACTCAGGGTGTCTCCCATCACACTTCTCCCATAAGATCTCCACTTGTCCAGGGGTCTTGCCCGCCCACCTACTTCTGTTTGCTGTTGTTTGTTTTTGAGATAAGGTCTTGCTATGTAGAACTGGCCTGGACCTCGTGGCAATCCTCCTGTTGCAGTCTTCCAAGCAGCTGTGATTTACAGATGTGAGGCACATCTAGCTCCTAGCTTGGGGCCTTGGGGAGCTATCTGCAATTAAAGAAGGTGTCCCACATGGTCCCGACCTTCCACTCGCAATGCCTATCCTACCCTGCTGAGGTCAGGAAGCCTGTCAGCCAGGGATCCCTGTCCAGCATGGAAGCCCATAAAGGCAGACTCAACCCAGCTCCCACCTAGGGAGAAATCTTGCTGTTGTGGGTTTTCTGTTTGTTTCATTTTTATTTATTTATTTTAAAAAATAAAGTCTCTCTCCTGCCTTAGCTTCTTGGCTTCTGACCTCTACAAGCTTATACCCCCAATCTCAGCTGAGGAGTCTCGCTAAAACATTCTTGCCTGGGGCCTTCAATATGGCTCACAGGGCACACAACAACAACAACCAAGACCAAAACCCGCTTGCTCCTTGAATCCCACAGGGTGAAAGGAGAACCAGCTCCTCTAAGTTTCCTCCTACCTGTAAACATGGCTCAAGGGGACAGACGAACAGACAGATGCATGGATGGAAGGATGGACATGCGCGTGCACGCACACACACAGACAGAGACACTGAATGTGAAGGGGAAAGAAAGTTGACTGAATTGGCTGGGTTGGGGATAGGGGCTGGTAGCTGAGGGGTGTGGCTTCTTGGAAGTGAACAAGAACCCTGTTCTAGCACTAGTCACTCAATGGGGGAGACTTAAATGACTAGCTATTCGGCTGGTAAATTATACCAAAGTTCTTGCCTGAAGGCTCATAAGCTGAACACAGAGGCCCGCCCTGTCTACAGGGAGGGGCTGGGCTGACTGGGGATGATTTTGTCAAGAGGTGAGAACACTGTATCTAGCGTCAGATCTCAGCTAAGGACACGGCTGGCTTGAGCATTACAGCCTTAGTTGAGGCTAGGGAGGTGGCACAGAAGGAAGGGCCCTTGCGTGGCAAGTTCAAATCTCCAGAACCCACATAATAGCTAGACATTGCAGCATGTATGTCATTCCTGTGGGGAAGTGAGGGAGTGCAGCCTGATGGCTAGAGGCACTAAGAAGTGACCAAAGAGTGGAAGGAGGGGACTGACACCTGAGGCTGTCCTCTGGTTTCCGAACATGTAGCATGGTGCACATGTGCCTGCAATCACACGTGGACATGCGCACACAGATAAAAAACCAAACCAAAACACAAACAGCCCCAGTTTCCTGGGACACTGAGTTCTCTGCAGCCCAGGCAGACCTTGAACTTTATTCAGTCTTCTTGCTTCAGCCTCCCTAGTCAGCCTCAGACCAAAGCCTGGCTTCCAAGTCATTTTCAACTCCATCTTTGAAGGAGGA